GCGCAGCATGGGCGGCCCGCGGACCTGGGCGCTGCTCTGCCTGGGGCTCCTGCTCCCGGGAGGCAGCGCCGCGTGGAGCGTCGGGGGAGCCCCGTTCTCCGGACGCAGGTAAGGGCTGCCCCTCCACCACTACCACCTCAGCGCCATCCTGGGTGGGGGCAGGGATCCTGGGCCGCCCCGCTATCTGGCAGAGGTTCCCCTACTCCATGTGTCTGGAGCCCGCAGCCCCCGACAGCCTCCGACACCCCTCACCAGAGCCCCGGAGGATGGGGAAGGGGAGCAACGAAGGACAAACTCCCCCAGGACTTCGGTCCCCCTAATCTCCAACCCCCTCTCCCCCGCCCCTGCACATAGGAAAGCCCGGGACACCCCTTAACCGACACTTTGGGTACCTTCCTCTCTTTTCCTTGCTCCTGGCTTTTTTTAGTACCGACTATTTCCTTTGGAGGAAGAAGACTGGGGTGGAGTTTCGCTGCCCGTGGGTCAGTGTCGGCCCCTAGGGACCTGGCATTTGGACAAAGATGGCAGGGAGCACTCAGTCTTCCTGGCCCTCTCTCGGTTGCCGGGAACATTCTCTCTGTTGGTGTTTGTGTAGCATCTCCCAAGACCAGTGAGGAGGTCCTTTATATGCAATGTCCTCATTAATCCTTCAAGGAAGGACTGAATGAATGGGTTTGGGAACACTCGTTCCCATTTAGCAGATGAGCAAACTGAGGCCCCAGAGAATTAATATAATCTTCTAGGTTCACAGACCATTAATAGAAGACTTGGGATTCAAATCTGTGTCTTTCCGGCCTTGATGACACTGTTTGAACCTGGGTCCTGTCCTGGTTGCAGCCCCCACCCCTCTTGGGGTCCCCTCTTGAGGGCCAGCTGCCTCCCTTGTCTGAGGCAGACAATACAGAGTAGCCAGGCCTCTCCAGGCCTTTCATCACATTCAAATGCCTGCCCAGCCCCCAGCCCCTACGGCCTCCCTTCTTTAATTCTTCTCAGAAATTCTCCTTTCCCAGTGGTCAAGAGCCAGCATGCCCACACTGGACTGCCAAGAGCGGGTGACAAGGGCAGGGCTTGGGTGCAGAGGTGGCTGAGGCATCAAAGGCAAGAAGAGCACTTATCTGAGACAGGGACGGACAGGTGGCAGATGGCGCAGACGCCACCTACTGCATGCTAACCACCGCTGGCCTAGGCTGGGTATTTTACCTATATCCACCGCCTCTAGGATCTTTTCCACTGACCTGTGAGGCATGCATTTTTCTGGTCCCCATTCCATAGAGGAGGAAACTGAGGTTCAGACAGGGGATATGACCTGCCCAGGACGTGGATGTAAACGCCCAGGATCCCAGGTGCTAAGATGATTGAGATTCTGAACTAGGAATTCCCAGCGTCAGGCTCAGAATGATGGTGGAGAGGACTTAAGGTCCCAACTGTCCTCCAGCCAGTCCAGGGTAGATTGTCCCAACCTGGGTTCCTTGCCCCTCAGGGCTTGGGAGCAAGGATGGGAGTGGGATGGTGGCTGTGGGCAGGTATCATTCACAGAAAGCTCACAGTGGCCTGGGCACTGTTGTTGCTCCCACGTTACAGATAAGACTGAGGCCTAGAAAAAAATAGAAGCAGCTCAGGTCTGGCCAGCCAATTTCCAAATCCAGTGTCCTTTTCACCCCAGCAGAGCTCATCAGCTGTGGGTCGTCATTAGGAGTTAGGGGCTCTGTCCCTGGCTCTGTCACCCACTCAGTGTGTGACCTCAGGGAGGTCACTTCATAGCCCTGGGTCTTAGTTTCCATTTCAGTTTCTTCTTTCTTCCCCTCATCCCCTGCTAAAGGGCCTGTATTGAGGGTGGACAGACCCCCATGGGAAGGACCAGCTCAGAGCCTGAATACAGTGGTTCTTGCTATCACTAACATTAGGTGGGGGAAGGGACCCCTAGCTGGAGGAATCTATGGTCCTCAGCTGCCAGGTCTTCCCCTTGTGGCCCCATCCCAGCATCGCTAGAGACAGCATGGGGATGTCTTGCCCCATCAGCCCTCCCTCCACCCCCAACCCAGCGCCCCAGGCACCCCTTGGCAGCCAAGGGACAAGAGGCAGAAAAGAGGCTTTGTGCCTAGGGAGGGGGAGGCCTGGGAAGGCATCCAAGAGGCCTCCCCCAGCCCTAGGAATGTGGTGAGACTTTAAGACCCTCAGAACCAGGGTACCCGGGGGCCATGTAGAGCTGCCTTGGCTCACCCCTGCTCACCCTTCAATCCCTGTTGGGGCTGCTTCCTGCCTCTTCTGAGGTCCCTTCCAGCCTGAACCCCTGTTTCCTTTAACACCCAGCCCAGCACTGTGGCTCTAGAGTTAAGCCATTGCCAGTGTCCTGGCCTGGGCCTCTCCCCCCTGCAGTACTGGCTTCCTGCGGGTAAATCCTAGGATGAAGCATAGTGGAGCATTCTCTTCCCTAGCCTCTCTCTCCAGGGAGTTCAAATCCCAGCTCCACACCCGCATGGGTGACCTGGCTAGGTGACTTCTCTCAGAGCCTCAGTTTCTTCCTCTGTGAAACACAGAACCTGACAATCCCTATCCTACAATGGAGGCGAGGACCTCGTGCAGAAGGTACTGTGCTGGTGTCCCCAAGCCCCAGGGAAGGCCCTGGTCCGCAGCTCTGGGGCCCATGCCATAGTCCAGGAATAAGAATTATCAATAGCTGTCAGCTTTACTTGAAACCTCCTCTACCAGAGAAGAATCTGCTGTCCCCATTTGCAGATGGACAAAGTCAGGCCCAGAGTCAGGGCCTTGTCCAAGGTCACTGAGTTAGGAAGCAGCAGAGCTAGGACTGGAACTTCACCTCCAGTCTGGGGTTCTGGCTCTAGTCACCCCACCCCCACCCAGTATGTCTCCTTTCTTTCCTCTCCTTTTCATAACAGCCCTTGGCCCCCAGCCTGCTTGGCTGCCTCCTGCAATTAGCCCCTATCACTGTTCCGGATCACAGCCCTGGGCCCCACAGAGACAAAGTCCCCTGGGCCCCTCGTGGCAGGGGGTGGAGGGCAGGTGGGGGGGGGCGGTTCGTGGGGCAGCTGGTGCCAGGCTGAGCTGGTCTGGCTTGTTTTCTCTCCCCCAGGTACCTCTGGGGGCCTAGGAGGTGCTGAGTGGGCCAAAGTGGCAGGCCCAGGGAGAAGGGCTGCCTCCTCCCAGCCCCTGCCCTCGCCCCATCCCACAGGAGGTGACGCAGCCTCACCAGGTTCTTGGGCAGTTTATCTCTACCACACTTCAGGAAACGAAGCCCCCAGGGACAGCAAGATAGAGACAGGGTTTCCAGGGACTGCAACCATCTCTGAGAACCTGGGTTCTGGCTCCTTGGCCCAAGGCCAGTGTCACTCAGTCATTCAGCAAACCTCCCTGTGTGCCCTCAGCCTGAGCCCCGTCCTGGCTTGGTACAATGCCCTTCTCCCAGCACCTGCCCAGGAGGGAAACACTCAGGGCTGCTGAAAGTGGGGAGACGGAGCCCTGGAAGTACCCAATCCTTCAGGGGACCTCAGGACTGAGGCCCCAAGGTTGAAGAGAAGTTTCCCAGAACACGGGGAGGCTTTCCAGGCAGAGGGAATCCAGTATGCAAAGATTTGAGGTCAGGGAGAATTCAGTACATGGAGGGAGGGCAGGAAGGTCAAGGAGGGACAGCAGGATTGTGCAGGAGACGAAGTGGCTTATGAGACAGACGGTCAGTGCTCACAGGGTGATGGGGAGCCGTGACGGGCTGAGAACGCCATGGCGGCAGTGGCAGTGTTAGGTCTGTGCTTTACAAAGAGCTCCTGCTGCCTCTGGAAAGTGGGCTGAGGGGCAGGAGGGCAGCAGAGCCAGGCTGGGACCCTGCTGGGGAGCGTAGGCTCATCCTGCGGGCAGTGGGGCTGGGGTCTTCAAGGCCGGGGTAGGGTAAGGTATAGTTATTGGTGATCCCCCCATAGGGAGGGGACAAAGGGCTGACCTTGAACCCCACCTGGCCTGAGTGTCCCCTCCTATCTAAAGTGTCTACCTAGCCAGCTACCAACTCCTATCTCCTAAGCAGAGGATTCAAGCAAGTTCCAACTCATGGGAAATAAACCAGGGAGCCAGGCAATGATCCACATGGGGGAGATTTTGATTAATGAAGAAGAAAAATAATTATTTTCTCTAGCTCCCCGCTGGTAAAGAGGGGCAGCTCCAGCAGTTGTGGGTGGGAGGTCACAGGCCCATCTTCCCCCAGCGCAGTCCAGGTGCATGGGTGAGTGTACATGGCCCCGTGTCTGTGCATGTGGACCCGAGTACAGAGAGGACAGTCATTTCTGTAGCTATATGTCCTGCCAGATGTGCGTTGATCTGATTATATGCTTGAGTGTGTGTGTATGTGTGTGCTTATATGCATCTGGGTGTGTACACGTGGGCGTGCGTGCGCCAGGGAGTTGTATGCACGTATACATATGTGAGCATGTCCGTATGTATGTGTGTTTGTGTGTGCATGAGTTTGCGTGTGTGTATATTGTGTGTGCATTTGTACACCAGCACACACAATGGGGTCTTCATTCTGTGCCCAGGGCCCCCTCCCGTGTCCAGAGTTTCTGACTGCCTAGGTTGCTCACTCCCTCTCTTCTTTCTTTACTCACAGAGTCCCTGGGCCAGCCAGGAGGATATCACATAAATTGAACTTGTACCCCCAATTTTATCTATTTTTCTGTGGAGGAGTCACAACTTATATCGCTTTTCCGAAAGGGCCTCGCGTCCCCTGCAAATAAAGTTTAAAACCACAGCTCTAGGGACCTAGAGGCTCTAAAGAGTGGGGGACCTTTTTGAGATGTATCTTTTTAAACTGATAAAATCCCCACCTATTCATTAGGAAAAACATTTCCAGCATGAGGTTAAGAGCACAAGCTCTGGGGTCAGATAGTCCTGAGTTCCAACTATGACTGTCACTCATCATGGGTCTTTAGGTCACATCCCAGACCCCAAGCCTCAGTCTTCTCAGCTGTAGAGTGGTGCTCGTAACCAGGCATGTGGAGGGCCCCGGGCCCAGCTCCTGGCAGCAAACAACTGGAAGTTGCTGTGAATGTAGTAGATGGAACGGGTGGAAAGGCCCTCCTCACCCCCAGACGTGACCATGTGATTTTTCCTAACTTTATGCACACATAGCTACATATGAGCATTCATGTATAGTCTTTTGGCTTTCTCTTTCTTCCCTAGTGTAATAGAAATGCACTCTTTTTCTCTTGGTCTGCATAGGCTTTTTTCCCCTTAGCTAGGCACAGTGGTCTACATGTGGGGTCTTTGGACTGTGTCACTACACATGGCTCTCTGTGTCTTGTGGTCCTGTTTAGGCTGTTCCCAGTTTTGTACCATTCCCGATGGCACTGTAGCAAGCACCTGTCACCTCTTCCATGGAGTGGCTGGCCCAGGGCTCTGTTGAGCTTCTGCCATGTCGCTGGGCCAAACAGAACCATTTTTTCTTCTTGCTTTCTACCTCCATGCCTTTGGCTCAGCTGTTTTCTCCTCCTAAACTGATTTCAGCATGACACAAAATGGTGAAGGGACTTCCTCAGGGTCCCACAGAGAGTTAGTTGACGGGTCCTGGCCAAGGACTTTCTCCTTTAGGTGAGCCAGGGTGGGGGCAGGGCAGCAGCTGGGGGACTGAGTTTCAGTGGTGGCAGGCACCTCTGTGATGGTGGGAACATTCCAAGTGCTCAGCGGCCCTCGGCCCTGCACGGGGTCATGGGCTCTGCATTTTTTGCAGGGGCTGGGAAAGGAGGGACCGTTTCAGGTGACCCTTGTCAGCCTGAGCCCCCTTCCCCACCAGACTTTCCTTTGTGGCCTTGAGCCCAGGGTCAGCAGGTTCCCAGGCTGGGGCCTTCACAAAACCATGGACCATGGCTCAGGAGATTGGGAGGAGACAGGAGCTGAGGCCTCTGGGAAGCAGTCAGGGGCCAGGCTGGGCCATCCACATTCCTAGGTTCAAATCCAACTCTACCATGCACCAGCTCTGTGCCATGAGCAGTTTTTTCCCCTCCCTGAGCTTCAGTTTATCCTTCTGTAAAATGGGAGTTGCCTTCCTGGCTCACCATAAGAAGATGAGAAAATACCCCTTAGCATACAGTAGGTACTCAATATGTGCAATGCAATATGATTATTAGTTGGCATTTGGAGAAGTCAGTCCTCCATGCTTGGGACATTGTGCATCCCCACTGTTGCATAGAGGGGACCCAAGGAGAAGTGAGACAGGGCCTCTTCTCTCGAATGCCAGGGGTGGGAGGGGACAGATATGAATCACCAGCTTAATTCAGCTTGACAGGCATACAAAGTGCTGTGGGATCCAGGTCAGGGCATCGTCAGTTCTGGAACAGATGGAGGTGGAAGTAGGGAAGAACAAGGGGAGAGGTGACAGCACAGCGGGGCTTTGAAGGTAGAAGGTGCCAAGGGAGAAGTGGGGGAAGGGTGCTCCAGGCAGTGGGCCCAGTGTGAGCAAAGGCTTAGAGGTGAGGAGTCTACAGCAGACATGGGCACAGGAGATCCCAAGGGCTAGGCTGAGGGTAAGCAACTGAGGGACATGGCCAGGTTTCCACTTTACGATACTCCCTCTGGGGAGACACTGAAGGGCAAGATGGAGGGGCCACTGCTCTTGTCCAAGTGGGAGGCAGGAGACGGTAGTAGCCTGGACTGGTCAGAGTTGTAGAGAAGACATGTTGAGAAGGAAGAGGCCCTTCAGAGATGCCCTGTTCCCATCTTGCCCCCCCGGAAGCTCATTCCCCAAGACTTCCTGAGCAACCTCAGCACGGCCACCCCCTCTAGCGCTATGGCGTTCACTCCTCAGCCACAGTGGCACGAAGACTCCCATCGGGGCCCAAAGGACTCTGAGAGCTCAGAGATCTCTCTGCCTGGAGACTCAGGGCTACTGGAGAGAACACAGACCTCCTCACGCACCCTCCCAGGGTCCTGGGCACGGGGCTGTGCATGGCGCCTGAGCTTCCTCCCTGTTGGTCTGTTTCAGGAACTGGTGCTCATATGTGGTGACCCGCACCATCTCATGCCATGTGCAAAATGGCACTTACCTTCAGCGAGTGCTGCAGAATTGCCCCTGGCCCATGAGCTGCCCAGGGAACAGGTGAGTGAGACCATGGTAAAGAAGAAACTGATGGCATTCCAGGGGGAGGCACAGCATGGGTAAAGTCCTGGTGGTGGGAGTGCAGGGGAAGACTGGGACCCCAGGGTGGGTGGAGCAAAGAGAATATTGGCCCTATGCCCATTCTCAGCACCGTGTGCTTTTGGGGCATCCTGGAGGGCTTCCTGGGGGAGGGGTTCCACCATTCACCTACATGCCTTCACTCAGTGATCATTCACTGCTAGGGACAGGCTGGCTGAGCTTGCAGGGGCTTCCTGTTCCGTTGGTATCCAGATCTCCATGGCTGGAAGGTCGAGAAGGAGTAGAAGGGCTGAATCTTAGAATGCAGGAGGAGAGAGGCTCCAAAGGGACTTGGAGGTGGCAGAGGACCCTGGGGGCTCTGGGTTTGTCCCCACAGATGGTGGGAGAAACAGCAGAGAACCTTGTCTGAGCCGGGCCACCTGGGCACTCTTTCAGCTACAGAACCGTGCTGAGACCCACATACAAGGTGATGTACAAGACAGTGACCGCCCGAGAGTGGAGGTGCTGCCCCGGGCACTCCGGGGCTAGCTGCGAGGAAGGTAGGACTGCCCCCAGGTGCTGGCCAGGTGCCTCCCCGTGGGTGTGTGGGAGAGAGCGGTAAACTGTTGCTAAGACGATGGACACTGCAGTGCAGTGCCCTGTACACGGGGACCCTGCATGGAGCTGCCAGCAAGGCGCAGCTTGGACACATTTGGTGCCCACTTTCTCATGGGTACTGACTGCCTGCCTCGTGGGAGACTCTCAAGACCCCTGGAGAAATGCCATGTGTGCTGTGTAGCTCACATCTTAAGTCACACCATCCCACGCCTTTCCCTCCAAACCTGGGGGAAACCCATCTGGACATTTTCATGGGATGTGGTTAGATTGCACGTGAAAGCAAAGTGCCACTTAGGTTAGTGGGTCAGCAAAGTAGGGATGGTTGTACCCTTTCTATAGATGAGAAAATTGAGGCTCAGGAAGGCAATGGGCACACAGCTCCTAAGTGGCAGTCAGGACTGGAACCCCAGTCTGCCTGGCTTTTCCCAGAGCCTCAAGGATGGGAGGACTCAGCTGGGCACCCTGTCTGTGGTATATGTCCCAGGCAGAGGGACCCCGCTTACCCCACCCCCTTCTCTGAGTGCCATGAGGGTGGCTTGGGGCTGAGCACCCAGCGAGAGTACAGAGGAGGCAGCCCAGGACTTCCTGGAGCCTGGCCACATGGTAACCTGGAGAGACCTCTCTCCAAGGGCACCTGCCCCTCTGCCCGTTCCTGAGTGGGCATGAGATAAGTGCTGCTTGAATTGCAGCCAAGTGGTCCAGGCCACCCCCACCCTTGCTGCCTGGCTGAACTCAGTGAGAGGAAGGTTTTTGGGCACCAAGGGCTGTGTTCCCAGGAATGACCCTAAAGAGGATGGGCTGGCCTAGAACCAGCCCGAGAACCAGGCCTGTAAAACCTCACTAGAAGGAGGCATTCAGGGCCCCAAAGCACATGCTAATGTGAACACCAGCAGCAAGACATATTCTGATGCCAGAAACACAAACGTGTAAAACACGGCCTCTGAATTAAGGGAACATGATGCTAACAGAAGTAACCATTCGTAAATGCCTCTTGAAAGATTTACATGCTTTACCTCCCTGGGACCCCACAACAGCCCTGGTTCACAGAGCGGGCAACAGAGGCCCAGAGAGATAGAGTCACATGCCCAGAATCACATGTGTGGGGGGCAGGGCTTACCACAAAGAGGAGCAGGGAGGGGGGCCTGACCTTTTCAGTAGAGAATGGGAAAGTCTCCAGTGGAACTGGGAGGAGTGGGGTGGCCAGGAAAAAGAAGCAGCCCAAAGTCTGGCAGGGGTCCTGTACAGAGAGGCAGCCACCAAGGCCAGTGTGGGAGGCTGGGAGGGGCAGCCACGAAGGGGAGCCAGGAAGAGCACCCTCCCCCGCTCTGCTGGGAGGAAGAGGCAAAGGCAGGACCCTGGGGGCCAGGAGGAGAGCCAGCCAGGAGGGGCTGCCGCCAAGGAGACCACAGAGGAGCTGGTAGTGGGGAGGGGGCAAATCCTCAGGGTGTGGAAGCCACCTGGGCATAGAGGGCCTGAGCCCAGGCAGGGCCTGCCCAGACGAAGGCGACTCTCGCTCCCATCCCAAGGGCAGACTGTCTCAGGTCTGCAGGGCCATCACAGAGCAGGTGAGGACAAAGGACAGGTAGGGCCAACACCCATACCCTTGAATCCAACAGCTGGACGCTGTGGGTCTGGGAGCCAGGCTAAGGGCTATGAGCTCTGCCGATGGAGAGGCAGGAGTGCAAGACGGGATGATAGGCCAGGCCAACCCGGATGTCTGCCAACTCCTTCTGCAGGGCCTTCGGATGGGGTTATCCAGGGCTTCACGGGCCAGGCCAGCTCTACCACATACCAGCTGTGTGGCCTTGGGCTGGGGACTCCCCGTGCATTGTGCAAGTTGTGCAAGGGCGCCAGGCTGGGGAGCAGGGAGGCTGCAATTCAAGCAGCACTTATCTCATGCCCACTCAGGAACGGGCGCCTTCTCTCAAAGACAACAAGCAGCCTGGGACCTCAGTGTCCTCACCTGTGAAATGGGCAGGATAATAGTCTGCCTCCCAGGGATGTTGTAAGGACAAAATGAAGCTGTAGAGACCCTGCAGATAGTGCGGCAGCCTATGGAGGGCACTATGTGATGACTGACGGGACAGCAAGGGCTTCTCCCCTGCACAGGGGAGAGCTGTGTAAACGGATGCCCAGACTTGGATATTCTGGAAAACTGCTCAGCTGGAGCTCTGGGAGTGGGGGTGGGGAGCCATGAGGACATTGCTGGCCTATCCCAGGCCCTGCCCTTCCTCTGATAGCCAGATTCAGGCTGGGCTCCCTCAACTGTTTCCCCTGCCAGTGACCACCCTCAGGGTCTGCCCAGAGCTGTGACATGAACCTGGGGCCATAGAGCTGCATCCCCAGGGACGACAGGGCTCAGAGCAGCATGTAGTGAGCTGAAGGAGATGGAATACCCACCATCCTAGAATCCAGCCCTGGATCAGCTGTGCTCTGCTGTGTGACTTGGGCAAGTCACTTTACCTCTCTGAACCCTGTCTCTATGTGGAAGTCACCTGCGTTGAAAAGTGCCCACCTCATACCTTATTATAAGGACCAGAGTCTCACACCTGCACATAGCAGATACTCTCCATAAATGTCTTCCTCACCCCTTTGGCCCCTATGCTAAGGGTTCTGTGGTGGCTCTCAGGGACTGCCCTGCCTCCCACCTCTGAGACCCCACTTCTCAGTCCACTGGTCAGCAAACAGGCCTTGAGTCTCCAGACTTAACTTTTGTGAGGCTGCAGACTTCATAACTTTTAGCCCTGGATTTCTCATCCGTGTAATGAGAATGTTCACTCTGTGATGAGCGAGGATGGGCTCTGATGTTCATGACAACCCACGAGGAAGGGGCTAGAATGGGCCTCATTTTACAGATGTGCAAACCAAGGCTCAGAGCAGTGAAGAGACTTGCCTGGGGCCACTCGGCACATGAAAACCAGGATGGGGACCTGCCTAACAAAGGATCAGTCAGTGCCTCCAGGCCCTGGGAGGTGGGGCTGGATGGCAGGGAGGGAGCCTGTCTGAGGCTCTTACCTGGCTGCGTGCTCCCTTCTGAAAACAATGAGCAAGGAAGAGCCAAGGCCAAAATGTACCATGTGGGCTGGTCCTGACCTGCTAAGTGGCCCAGGCTAGTGAGCTCTGCTGAGGGCAAGGCTGCTGGGGCCACCACGTCACCCTTGCCTCTGGAGGCCCTCTGCCCAACCTGCGAAATGGGCAGGATTTCAGCCTCATTGTTCAGACAATGAAAGCGAGGCTCAGAGAGGGTCCGGGTCTCACACAAGGTCACGCAGCAAGTAAGCATGGCCAGGATTCTCCCCAGGGCTCTGACCTGAGGTCTGTAGCATCCCCCTGCCTCACACCCTCCTGCAGTAATAATGACGAGGGGAAGGAAGGTTGCCTCCATCCTCCGTGCCAGGCACTATGACTTGTACTCACCTGCATTGTGCCGTCATGTCAAGGTTCAGAAGGTCCAGATGTGGAAACCGAGTGTGGGAGAGGGGACTGCCTTGCTCATTGTCCCACGGTCTTCAGCACATGTGTCCCTTCCCTATCCATGGACCCCCACAGCTCTTGTCTTCCATGATGGGGAACCAGAGAGGGAAGAATTTTGCCCACAGCAAAAAAAGCTTAAGAGCAGACTGGAGGTTCCAGCTTGGGCCCTTCTTGGGCCCTCAGTCTCTCTACCCTCCAGGGATGAGCCCTTCTCACACACATCTTTCACACTCTAAACAGATGCCACCTGTGCTTTCCTCTATGCATTCAGAGTCGCTAGGGCTAAACACTACATGAATCTGCCCGAGTCTGCTACCCTCCACTCCACTCCTGACTGGGAGGCCTGGTGGCCCCACCTCCCAACTCCCAGTCAATGCATCCTCTACCCCCAGCCAGGCAGCTTCCCTGTCTGCACCCCCCAATTGCCCAATCGATGTGCCCTAGCCTTGCCCTCTCTCCATCTTCCCCAGCCCATACTGGCTTTTCCTCCCACTGCATGGCCCGGGCAGCGGCTGCCCTCTCTGCCTGCAATCTTTTTGGACCTCCCACCTGGCTATGGTGGTCCCCACCCTGCCATCACTACTCTTGTGTCTCTAGTGCCTGGCATGGACCTGGCATAAGGTGGGTGCACAGGAAATGAATGGGAACCTCATTTTACCTCAAAGAGGAGGCCAGGCCAGTCAGACCAAAGCTTCCCAGAGGCCTTGTTACGGGGTTCTGGGAGCTCCTGGCCCCAGCTCTGACCCCAGTCCCTGGCTCAGGCCAACAGCAGCAAATATTTACATTTTCAAAGTAAATTCCCTGGAGGAGAACTTGCCTGGGGCTGGGGAGGCTATACCCCTGTGGCCTGTGGTTACTGGACCCAGCTGACCGGGGAGTGGCTTATGAACAAGGAAGCCCCTCTCTTGATCTGTCTTCTGGGAGAGAAAGTCAGAGGTGGAGTCCACAGACACCTCCCAATTTCTCACACCCCCATTCCCAGTTTAGGGAAGGGTTTGAATCCTAGCTCCCCTAGTCCTACTGTGTGGACAGGCAGCCTCTCCTCTCTGCACCTCAGTGTTCTTATGAGGATCCAATGAAAAGGGGCACAGAGGCTTCTTAGCTCAGGCCCAGCACTGGGCAGAGAGAAGACAGCTGTTTATGGTGGCACAGGACTAGAAACTGCAGATGGCACTGATCTTGTGGATGGCAAGACAGGGAGTGATGAGAGTTTCAAGGCAGAGGGGGCTTTAGTGGGTGCTCTGCTCTGCCAGGAGGGCTTCCTGGGGGAGGTGACATGGGAGCAGCAGCTGTGGTGATGGAGGTGGGGAGGCGGGGTGGGAGGGGCCATGTGTGTGTGTGTGTGTGTGTGTGTGCGCGTGTGCGCACGCGCACGCGTGTGTGTGTGTGTGTGTGGCCAGTGGAGACCTCCCAGGTGGTGGGAAGTGGCCCACAGTCAGACTTCCAGAGTGGAGTAGGGTTTGTGGTCCTGGGATCAGCTCGGAGCTCCTGGGAGGGCGAGGTTGTGGCTGGGAAGAGGCCCTTCAAGACAGACCACCAGGCCAGGGTGAAGGGGGGACTCAACACACTGTGTCCTGCTCCAGCAGCCCTGGCCCAGCACCAGTGAGAGGGACGTGACATTTTGACCTTCCCCCTAAACCCTGTGGCTTTTTCCCTACCATTTGCTATAGAGCCATTTACAACCTGGTTCATCCCTTAAAATATTTCTGTCCATTTATCAGAATTTGAGGTAGTTTGGGGGGTGATTTTTGTGAATCCTGATTCCAGAGCCAACATTTTCTAGATTTTTTGACAGTTATATTTCTTTAAACTTTTTTTTCTTAATTCTAACTCACAATTAGTTTGAGCCAGTTACATGTACACTGCTGGTCAAGCCATGTTTTTATTTAGTTTTTATAGTTCTCCCTGGCTCCCAGTGAAATGTCCAAAAGCAAATTGGTCGAAAAATAATTTTCAGCCACAAATTCATGGGTTAATAACTCAGGGACACCCTGAGTGTGATATGAGAACATTTATGCTCATTTTCAAAACAGTTGTGTCTGCTGTCCACATTATTTTGCCTTTTATTTGTTAGCTTGGTTTAAATTTATTTTCAACCAGCAGCCAGTGATTCATGCATTCATCAACAAAAAGTTTGTTCAGGCCGCTAAGGCCCTACTGCACGCCAGGCACAAGACAGAGGATGTCCCTGCCCTGATGGGGTGCATGTTCCAGCCAGGAGCGGATGATCGGCAGGAGACCGGGGAACTGGCACAGTGAGAGGGTGGAGAGTACTGTGGAGAAAAAAGGAAAATGAGAGCAGGGCATTGGGGAGGGCAGGCAAGGCAGACGCTGTGCCAAAACTTCATCCAGAGAAAATCCAAACTTCCATGGGCTTGGAGGGTTGGTCAACTTCCTGAAAAGAGTACGAAAAGGACCTTTTACATCTTTACCTGGGAGCAAAGAGGATGAAGAGAGCTTGGCGAGGCCATTCGTCTCAGATACCAGCATTTGAATGCTGGCACCCAGCCTCCTGGGCTCTGCCCAGTGGGACATGGCAGCCAACTCAAGGTGCTAGGTGGCCCAGGAGAGAGGAAGTTGGGTCCTGGAGTTATACTAAACTGAGTTCAAATCCAGGTTCTGGCCTTTAGGTGGACAGCCAAGAGCCAGTCACTTCATTTCTCTGCTTCATTTTCCCCCAAGGGGAAATATTCATACTCGCTCATCCATTTATCCGAGAATGGGGATCAGAGGAATGGTAATATCAAACTACTCTATGCCTGTTCCCTGTGTAAACTGGAGGTGATGCTAGCACCCACTCACAGGTTTTCGAGAATAAAGAGAATAAAGTTCAGAGAGGGTCTGTGAAGTGCTTAGAATGTGCCAGCTCCATAGAATCAAACTGGACTACATAAAGCACTTAACGCTGGGCATGACTCAGAGTGGCACCCACCCTCCCACCCATAGCACCCCCAGTCCTGGGCTGCCAACACATCTTCCTCCATCCTAGGTGAGATTTACCCCCTGCATCGGGACTACTCACAGGTCCCTGAAGAGGGTATGCAGGCCCAGCCTGAGCGCAGGCGCCATGGTGGGACCTAGAGCAGACTCTGGCAGCCTCCCTTCTGGGGGCTGGCCAGAGGGACCAGTCTGGTTTGAGTTCTCGGCGCCTCTCACTCCCTGCACCAACCCGCAGCCCGACTTGGAGCTGCCAGGCCCGTGCCTTATTTGGGTCTTGCCTCCCCCCAGACAACACTTCATGGCCTTAAAAGGCAGGCCCAGGGGGCAGTAAGGGGCAGTTGCCACTGCTGGCTCCAGAGCCCCTCCAGCTGTGCCTTCTGCCTCTGACTTGGCCAGTGCATCCCTCCAGCTATGGAGAAAACCAGGCCCCCAAAACCAGACCAGCCAGGCAGCCTGCTCCTCATAGGGCTGCCAACAGGGGTGGGCTCCTGGAATGGGCCCCCTTGCCCTCCCAGGCAGCCAGCCTCCCTCTGGTTTTCATTTAAAACCAGGGCTGGATCCACTTCAGTATCTTCTTACCAAGTAGAGAAGGGAGAGTGTTGACAACGATGTGTCAGCTGTTATTCATTCAGTGCCTACTGTGTGCCAGGCCCTGTGTGTGTGCAGTGGGCTCTTTGTACACATCGTTGTCCTCAGGCCTCACATCAGCCTGGGAGATACAGTGGCCATGTGACCCCAGTTTACAGATGGGAAAATAGGTCCAGAGAGGACAAGTCACAGGTCAGCAAGTGGCAGGTCTGGGGCCCAACCTTGCGTCTCTTACCTCTAAGCTCTTAACACATGCAGCTTGCTGGGGTCGTTGGTGAAGCCCCCAACCTCACCCATGGCTCCTACCCATTACCAGTCCCTCTTCCCAGTCCCAGCAGGTTGGCAGCCTTGTTCCAGCTCAGCCCAGTTCATGCTGTGTGACCTAGGTAAACTTCCCTACCTCTCTGGGCCTCTGTCTCCCTCTGCACTGAGGGGAGTAGGGATCCCTACTGGGGCTACAGTGGCAGGCGGGGTGAGGGGATCTGACCACACAAGGATGGCACAGGCCAGCAGGGCTCTCATTCCTCCTGTCCCTCAGTTGCAGGCTCCTCTGGCTTCGTGGAGCCCAGGTGGTCGGGCAACGCCATGCGGCGGATGGCGCTTCGGCCCACAGGCTTCTCAGGTGGGTCCTGGGGCAGCAGCTCGAAGTACCTCCTGGACTAGAGGAGGCCTAGAGGGGCACAGGCAATGTGGTGACTGCCTTAAAAGCTATCTGGGTCCAGCAGTGGAGGCTCAGGAAGAGCACCCTGCTCTTGCCCACCCCATGCTGGAAAGGGAGAGAAGAGGGGCCCCAGAGGACAGTCTGACCTGGGTCCAGGCACCTCGAGACCCATGACCCAAAGACTCTTGCAGCTGCAGGTCCAAAGCCCCAGTTTCTTTTTATTTAAATTTCACGTTTCTGAGCATCTGCAATGTGCAAGGCACCGTGCCAGGTGCTTTCCATCATCACCTTGTTTAGACCTCACAGCTGTGTCCCTATCCCCTAGGAAAGCATCATTGTCCCCATCTTAAAGAGGAGGAAGCTGAGGGTCAGAGAGAGGACCTGCCCTGCCTGACATCCCACAGCCAGGAAGGGACAATGCTAGGACTTGACCCCAGGCTTTGTGCCTGTTATGCACTCGTCCACCCTTGCTTTGAGCTCAGTGTCATCAGGTGTGAACAAGGGTGACCCTTGTCCTAAAAGGCAGGATCATGGTGAAGACTGGAGAGATGGGCTCATGGAGCACTCAGCAGTGCTCGGCAGCCTGGAGGCTCTGAACCCTGCCAGAACTGTTATGGATAACTAAGGGGTATTGCTGCAGAGGCCACAGGTGCTGGATGGTAGTTCTGGAGGGAGGGTCAGGGGTGGCACCTCCGAAGCCAGCCCACTCAAGACTATGACATGTCGATCCCCAAAGCCAGCAAGTCTGGGCCAGCCCCACCTAGGTGGGAAGCAACAGGATTTCCTGCCCTGGCTTACTGGAAAGGAGTCATTTTGGATGCAGAGGCTGCATGAGTTGAGTCCCTGGTCTTGCTCTGGGAGGAACATACAGGCATGGTTCACCCTAGATGGGTTGTTCCCTGCAGCCTCTTCCCTGTGCTGGGCTCTCTCATGGACTGGGGTCATCAGATATCTGTCCGCTCCCTCCATCCCACCCACAGGGGCTGAGGGGCTCCAAGGGGAACCTGGGACTCCTAGCCCCAAAGCCAGCCTCCTCCTTCCCACAGGTTGTCTTAACTGCAGCAAAGTGTCTGAGCTGACGGAGCGGCTGCAGGTGCTGGAGGCCAAGGTGGGTAAGCAGCTGCCTCCTTGCCCCCAGCCTCCCTACCTACTCCCTGCACCACACTCAGCCCACTCAGCATTCCCACAACACCCATGGGCAGGCAGCTTCCCTGCCAGGCACTCACCGTCCTCCTGTCGGTTCTCCCCCAGCTCTTTTGGCCTGCCCACCCCAGGAAGCCTGCGCACAGTCAGACAGCCGGGCCTGCTCTTCCTCTAGGAGGCCCATGAAGCACCCTCATTGTACGCCATCCCCATCCCAGCCATATATTCGTAGAACCACCTCCCCCTCCAGAGCTTGTGGCTGGGTCCCCTCCTTGCCCTGTCACCTTAATCCTTTATCCTCCCCTCTCTCATAATGCTATCTCCCCAGTTTCAAAAGCAAAACATCTATTGTATATCTCGAATTATTCCCACGATAAAAAGTTTTTAACCATTAAAAACCAAGACATTCTAAATTCAAAAACACAAAAACTCAAAACAATGAAAAAACTACCAGAAAACCATTCAGAGAAGTCACCTATGCCCCTAGAGAGAGCGATGGTCAACATTTACATATCTTTCAGATTTTCTAAACACATGTAGAAGCATATACGCTTTATATATGTATTCTTTCCTCCATTATTCCCTCCTCTGGGAATTTATCTTAAGGAGATCTGGAGGGGGCACAGGCAATGAGGTGACTGCTATTTACCAAGTGTTAACTATTAATAGGGAAATTTGCAAACCAGACAACAGAAGAGGCGGTTGCATAATTAGGGAGCATGGAGCAGTGAAATACTAGACAGCCATGAACAACACCTCCATTTTCTATTATGAAAAGATGCCCCTGCTGTATCAACTGGCAAAACCAAGCTTCTGAACAGCTGTGCTAGGACTCCAGTTATGAGGCATAGGAACCCCACATTGCTGCCCAAACTCCCTCCGAGAAGAAGCCAGTGTGAGGGCAGCTCAGTCCCAGGGGTGTGGTTCTTGGGTCTGCCCAAGAGTTTCAGCTTTTCTCTGGACAGGCCCACATGATCTCCCACCCCTAGTTGGTAGGCATGCTGGCTTCTCTTTAATCCCCAGTCAGCAGCTCAGGGGGTACCACCAGCCTTTCAGAGTCTCCCCTACGCTATGTCCAAAAGCGTTTTCATATACCTCAAATGTTTTTGTATACAGCTCAGGGTATTTCATATGAGACTCTCCCAAACTCCCCTCCAAATTTAGTGAAAATCCTTCCAGCCATGGGGCTTTAATAGTCCGAGAGAACTTTCACATTATTTATGTAGGTAAGCATAGGAAAAAACCACATGGCCCAGCAAACACAGTGACAGTTACAGAACTCAACTTGGGTGGCAGTGATGGTATGTAATGACTTTTCCATAATAAATATGATGAATTGTGCAGTTGGAAACCCACAGTCACTTCTGATGAGGTTCTGGGCCAAGCCAGGCTTTGCTGGCTCCTTGGGGCTCCTGCTCGCCACCCCAGGGCCCCTCAGTTGGCCTGTCCCTGGTGAGACCCTAGGTCCCATCCTATCCTTTCTCTTCCGGCACAGGTGGCAGTGCTGACAGTCACCGAGAGAGCAGTGCCCCCGACACCAGCTTCCCCCGAGGACCCCGCCCCCCGATGGGGCTCCCCAGCTGCTCAGGGTAGCCACGAGGATGGAGACCTTCAAGGTGAATGGGTCGGCGGGGAGCACACTCCCTTGTGGTAACGAGCAGGGGAGCGAGATGCCCGCCTGCCCTGCTGCGGACTCCCAGCTTGGTCCCCTGTAGGCCTGAGTCTTCCTAGCTCTCCAGGGGCCCCTGAGCGCTGGAGTCCTGGGAAGCCCAGCAGCCCCAATAGATGCTGCCCCTGCCCCACTGGTGGAGCTGGGGGCACGGACTCTGGATGACACAGACCCCTGCTTCCCCCTTCCCCTCACCAACTCCAGGGCTACCGGGAGCCAGAGAAAACACGAGGGCCCCACTGCTCCCTCGAGATGGTAGGTGCTGGCTAGGGGGCTGGGGCCAGGGTCGGGCAGGAGCAAAACCAAAGCTGATGAGATTTCTCCCCCAGATCGAGTTGGTACCCAGGGACTTCCTGGGTCCATTGGCCCCAAGGGAGACATTGGCAGCCGGGGCCCAATGGGGATGAGAGGCCCACCAGGTGAGTGCCCACAGCACTGCCCCCCAGCTTCCCTGTCCAGCCCTTGCAGCTGGACCTAGTCTAGGGCCTTTCTTCCTTGACTCTAGCCAGAGGTGGCCTGGGCCCCTTCTACTCACTTGTCTTGGCTCACCACCCCTCCAAGGGTGCCCCATTCATGCCTGGGCTCCCCAAAACCTTTGCATTCACTTGGCTCATGTTTGCCAGGCACCGACTCCCAGCAGGCTCTGAGCTGGGCACTGTGGTGGGGTCAGACCAGTCCCTGCCCTCCTGGTGCTTCCAGACCAGTGGGAGGGTGGGCCTAGGCAGAGGAGATACAGCAGTGCCCACTCCATGTGACGAGGGTTCTTTTGGGGGGTACTGCAGGATGGGAGCCCAAGGAAGGAAGCCCAGACCCAGCCTGGATGGGTTAGGGACAGGGAGGGCTTCTCAGTGAGAGTAACATCTTAGGTGAGGCCGTAGGCACACCTGAAGTGTACACTAGGCAGAGCAAAAAGAGGACTGATAGAGGGAACAGCTTGTGCAAAAGCCTGGAAGAGAGAGAAGAGAACGTTCTGGAAATTAACATTGGCTAAAGACAAGTGTCCACTGTCCTAAAGCCCGTGGGAGGGCTGTGTTTATACCCCTAATAGCCAGGGGAGTCAGAGCCAGGGACAGCCCTGGCCTGTGGCTCCCAGAGCCCTTCTTACCCCCTGCCCAAGTCTGCCTTGTCCTGCCCCCCGGCAGCCACCCTGGGCCCCTCTGGCTCCTGCACACCCACCAACTCCTCTGGTTCTATCGCAGGTCCACAGGGTCCCCCAGGGAGCCCTGGCCAGGATGGAGCTGTGGGTATTCCTGGAGAGAGGGGACCTCCAGGCCCACCAGGGCCTCCTGGTCCCCCTGGTCCCCCAGCCCCTGTTGGACCACCCCATGCCCGGATCTCCCACAATGGTGAGTCCCCCCGGGTCACAGCAGGTCCAGGCAGACGTGGAGTGAGACTGGCATAGCTGTTACCACAGTACAGCTTCTGTCTACTAGGTACCTCTGTATAGCAGGCTTGCCCTTGGTCAGCCACATGTCACCCAGTCCTCCAAGAGGGCTGTTAACCTCCTCTGTTCACTGATGAGGGAAACTGAGGGCTAGAGAGGGAAGATCACATTCCCTTGTTCATTCCATCTCACCATGGCCAGGGCAGGGGGTGGCCAGCTTCAAACTCAGGCAGCCTCCAGAGCCTGTGCTCAGAACCACGTGGCATCAGGCCCTTCCTCCAAGCCTTGGAGCTAGCCAGGATTCAGCCCCTCAGAGCCCTGGGAAGCTCAAGGCCCAGCAGCAGCAAGTGAGCCCTGAGCTTCCGAAGCCACAGCTATGCCCCTATGATCAGAGAGGCCCGGCCCGCTCCGCCTAGCTGGGCCCTGGCTGCACCCTTCGCCTCCTCCCTAGCCTGACCTACCTGTGTGCTGCCAGAGGTCAGAGCTTGGAGTGCTCTGTTCAGCCCCGTCTGCGTCCTATCTTTGGTGCATGACTAGGCACCATCCATTCTTTCTGTCCATTCTATCTCACCATTCTCCATCTCCAAGCTCGGTTTCTTCATCTGTACAGTTGGGGTAATGACCGTGCTGGCCTCCCAGAGCTCTGTGAACTCACACACAGAAGCCTGGCCCAAAGTAAATGGTCAATAAATAGTATCTTTTGTTATTATTCCCATTTGACATGTGACGGTACAGGCTCAGCAAGTCGGAGAGGCTTACTGGATGTCACAACTGGACTGTAGTAGGGTTAGAACCCAGGTCTCCTTGCAACCTGGTCCTGTGTAGCCGACACTCTCCCCACTCCCCACCCTTGGAGCAGTGGCCCCAGCCATGCTGCAGCCTGTCCCACAGGGCAGTCAAAACTGGCTTTGGCAGAGGTAGCTGGTGAAGACTGACTGCCCCCACTCCACTCAGCCCCACCCAGCCCTGCCCTGCCCAGTCACCATCTTTCCTCCCCCAGGGGACCCATTTCTGTCCAACACCTTCACTGAGACCAGCAGCCACTGGCCCCAGGGACCAGCTGGACCCCCAGGGCCCCCAGGGCCCATGGGTAAGTTGAGTCCAGGTCTGGGGTAAGAGGTGGGGTTGAGGGATGGCAGAGGAACTAGGACTGTGGCTATCAGGAGGGAGATAATGGGGGACTTCCTGGAATTGTACTATCTTTCGGTCCTGAGGACATCCTGGCTTTTCCCAGGTCCCCCTGGACCTCCTGGTCCCATGGGCATCCCTGGGAGTCCTGGACATATGGTGAGTATTTCTCCAAGTAAATACTCCCCCTCATCTGGCCATCTATCCACCCACCCACCTATCCATCTATTATCCATCCATCCATCCATCCTTTTTTCACTCATTTGAGCATTTATGGAACATTTACTATGTAAGCTACTTTCCATAAATCTCATTCAACCCATGTAACAGGAGGCAAATATTGTTATCACCTAAGGCTAAGAAAGGTGTAGATTCTTGCCCTAGGGCTATGGCCAGCACATAATAACTTCCAGATCAAAGTAGACACTGACTCTAGGGTCATGGCTCTGAACACTGAGCTGCATGAAGCTCCCACTGTGTGCTCGGCATTGGGTGTGTGGTGAAGGGTCTAGAGGGCCAGGCCAAGCTGGCACTCCCTCCCCAACTCGTCTGCCCCCCAAGTCCCTGTCCATTCTTCCCTGCTCCAGCATAAGGTTGAGGCCCTGTCTTGTTGTTCAGGGACCCCCAGGCCCCACTGGACCCAAAGGAATCTCCGGCCACCCAGGAGAGAAGGGTGAGAGAGTGAGTACTGCGGCTGCTCCCAGGTGGAGGATTCTGGGGTTCTGGGGAGTCTTGGGGGCTCCGGATCAGGACTCTCTGCCTCCCACAGCTAACTCCATTCCTCTTCTCCCCCCACACAGGGACTGCGTGGGGAACCTGGCCCCCAAGGCTTCACGGGGCAGCCGGTGAGTGATGCCGCATCCCCTGCAGCATCCCCTGCAGGCTCCCACAGGCAGAGGCCCCTGCTCTGACCCCATCCCCTGTGGCCAGAGCCCCTGACCCTCCCTGTCTGGTCCAGGGCGTGCTCCATCTCCCTCGCTCTGTGTCTCTGCACCTGTTTCTCTTTCTCTTTCCCATTAACATCTACCTCTGTGTCTAACTCTCACTCTCTCTCTCTCTCTCTCCATCTTTCCAACTATGAATGTAGATTTGTCTATTTCTCCTTTCAGTTTCGACAATTTTTGCTTCATGTATTTCAAAGCTTTGTTGTTAGGTGCATACACATTCAGGATTTTATTGTCTTCTTGATCCTTTTATCTTTATGAAATGAGTATCTTTCTGGTAATACTTCTTGTCTTGAATTCTACTTTGATATTAAAATAGCCACACAAGCTTTTTTTTAATGCTTTTTGCATGGTATATCTTTCCCAATTCTTTTACTTCCAACCTGTCTGTGCCTTTTTGTTTAAAGTGCATCTCTTGATGCAGATAGAGATAGAGACACATACTTGAGTCTTGCTTTTTAAAAAAAACAATCTGACTGTTGAGTTCATTTACATTTAATGATATGTGTAATTATTGATATGGTTCGGTTTAAGTCAATCGTCTTGCTATTTGTGATCTATTTATACCAGTCTCTTTTTATTTCTCCCCACCCCCCGCCCGCTTTTTTTCTGCCTTCTTTTGGATTGAGTCCTATTTACAATTCTGTTTTATCTCTACTAAGAACTCAGTGTTAATTTTTCATGGTTGCTCTAAGAATAACAACATACATCTGTGGCTGGTCACAATTTACTTGATTTAATATCATACCACTTCATGTATAAGTAGAACATTACAATTGTATAATTCATCTCCCTTGTGCTGTTGCTGTCATATATTTTACTTCTGCATTTGTTATAACCCCACAGTATATTGTTGTTATTGCTCTATACAGTCAATTGACTTTTAAGGAAGTTAAGAAAACAAAGAAAAATAGTCTTTTACATCTATTGACGTATTTACCATTTCTTATACACTTTCTACTTTCCTGTGGATCCAGATTTCCATCGGGTATCATTTCTCTTCAGCCTAAAGAAAGTCCTTAAGCCTTTCTTGTAGTTTGGGTCGTCTCTGCTTTTATTTATGTAAAACTCTTCATTTTACCTTAATTTCTGAAAAATATTTTCACTGGATATAAAATGATAGGTTGGCAGTTGTTTTCTCCCCTTTTAGCACTTTAAAGATGTTGTTCCATGGTCTTCTGGCTTACATATACCATTATAATTTCTCATGAGAAATTGATTATCATTCTTATTGTTGGTCCCCTTTATAGAATATGTCTTTTTTTTCTTTGGCTTTTAAGATTTTCTCTTTAGTCTTGGTTTTCAGCTGGTCGATCATGATGTGGTTGTGTATGATTTTCTTTGTGTTTATCCTGCTCTGGGTTCTCTGAGATTCCTGGATTTGCTGGGGTTTTTGTTTTTGTTGGTTATTTTGTTTAATTAATTTAAAATTTTAAATGTTAATACAAAATTTAAAATTAATTTAAAATAATTAAAATTAATTAATTTGCTAGGTTCACGTCAAAATGAGCAGCAAGTAGAGAGAATTCCCACATATATCATATGTACTCCCTGTTCCCACACATGCACATCCTCTATCACTGTCAGCATCTCCCACCACAGTGGTACATTTGGTACAATTGATGAAAGCACATCGACACATCATTATCACTCAAAGTCCACAGTTTACATTAGGATTCACTCTTGGTGTTGTACATTCTGTGGCCGTTGACAGATGTATAATGACACGTGTCCATCCTCATACAGAATAGGTTCACTACCTTAAAAATCTTCTGTGCTCTGCCTAGTTATTCCTTCCTCCCTGCTAACTTCTGGCAACCACTAATCTTTTTTACTGTCTCCTTAGTTTTGCCTTTTCCAGAATGTAATAAAGTTGGAACCATACAGTATATAGCCTTTTCAGATTGGCTTCTTTTACTCAGTAATATACATTTAAGTTTCCTCTATGTCTTTCCATGGCTTGAGAGCCCATTTCTTTTTGGCTCTGAATAATATTCCATTGTATGTAACACAGTTTATTTATCCATTCACCTACTAAAGAACATCTTCGTTGCTTCCAAGTTTGGCAATTATGAATAAAGCTGCTATAAACATCCATGTGAAGGTTTTTGTGTGGACATATGTTTTCAATCCATTTGAGTAAACACCAATGAGTGTGATTGCTGGATCGTATGGTAAGAGTATATTTAGTTTTGTAAGAAATCACCAAACTATCTTCCAGAGTAACATACTATTTTGTATTTCCACCAACAATGAATGAGAGTTCCTATTGCTCCACATCTTCACCAGCATTTGCTGTTGTCAGTGTTCTAGAATGTTCCTGTTCCAATACATATGTAGTAGTATCTCATTTTAATTTGCAATTTCCTGATGACATATAATGTCGAATATGTTTCTATATGCTACCTGCCATATGTATATCTTCTTTGGTGTGGTGTCTGTTTAGGTCTTTTGTCCCTTTTCTCCCAGCTTTACTGAGGTATAATTAACAATATGTAATATATTTTAAGTGTACAATGTGATGGTGTATGTATACATTGTAAAAGGATTTTCACAATCAAGTTAATTAACACATCCATCACCTCACAGTCTTCTTGTGTGTGTGTATATGTGCATGTGTTGAGAACACTTAAGATTCTACTAAGCAGATTCTCTTAGCAGATTTCAATTATACAATACAATATGATCAATTATAGGTACTATTGTACATTAGATCTGCAGAACTTAGTCATATTGTAACTGAAAGTTTATACCCATTTACTAACCTTTTTCCCCACTTCCCAACCCCGACAGCCCCTGGCAACCACCATTCTACTTTGTTTCTATGAGTTTAACTTTTTTAAAAAATAGATTCCATGTAAGTGATGCTACACAGTATTTTTCTTTCTGTCTGGATTATTTCACTTGGCATAATGCCCTCCAAGTTCATCCATGTTGTCACAGATAGCAAGATTTCCTACTGTTTAAGGTTGAATAACATTTTATTATATTTATATATATATATACAC